CTTCAAGATCGGCAGCCTAGAGTTGCACGTGGTTTTGACTATCTTGCAATGGTATTTGAAGAACAGCGACCGGTCAAGGTTGACGTCAACAACTTTCAGTTGATTCGTCCTCGGTACAGCTGTACGGTCGATGAATACATCGTTGCTGGGTTCTCGACGGGCGTTGGGACTGCCGTAGAAAATTCTTGATTTTGTCGCGGAAATTGTGAAGCCGACGCTTTTCGCCCATTTGTCGACAGCTTTCACTGCAGCCTGTAGATCTCTATACAGAGGACGCTCCTTACTCCTCCGTACCACCAGCAAAATATCGTCCGCATAGAGAAGCAAGGCAACAGTATGCGGCACCACTCTGAAAATCGGCTGCATCGCTATAAGGAATAACGTTACAGACAACACTGACCCTTGGTGGACTCCGTTCTTCAATGGCATTTCACCCGATAAATGTTCTTCCACGTTCACCCGGAAAGATCTGTTGGTGAGGAAACTGTTCAGTACGTTAAACATAAGCCCACCCATCTGCCACTTACGCAGAGTGCGCAAGATACCGTACCGCCAAGTGGTGTCGTACGCTTTCGACAGATCAAGCGATGCAATCAAGCAGTGTTCGTCCCGATTTGGCAATGACCTATCCAACTCCGCCAAGTATGTATCGACACCTCTCCCAACTCTGAAGGCGTGCTGCCTCTTGTCCAGTCGTCCATTCGACTCCAACTCACGCTCTAGATTCAGAACAGTTTGGCTTCGCAATCGGCACTATTATTCCGGTTCACCAGCTGATAGGGTAAACGCCACTACGCCAGACTCTGTTTAGAAGCTGCAACAGCGCCATTTTTTACGGATACAAGCAGACGTTGGATACCCTACCGAGTCAGGACCTGTAGAGACACTACGTCCTTTGTCGAGTGCCCACAGAAGCTTATTCAGGGTAAAGTCCGCTTTATATATGTCGTCGGTGTCCGGAAGAAAATCCACGTGATCCCGTTCCGCTCCTTCCTTCGCTGTTTGAAACAGTTTAGTAGCTTGTGGTCGCCGATCTCTCACAGTAGTGCCCGGCCAGTTCTTCTGCTATTTCTTCTGCCTTCTCCGTGTAGCCATCGGGTTGCTTGATAACCGCCTTGCTGTATTGTCGTTTGCCTCTCAGGGTGTTCATCGTCCGCCACATGTCTGCCGTTGTGCTGCCAGGTGATATTTTTCGGACAAAGTCCTCCCACGAATATTCCTTAGCTTCCTTCACTACCTTCTTAGGCGCTACCTTCGCTTCCTGGAACTGCTTCAAAACATCCGCTGTGTCCGATCCTGCTGTTCTGCTGCGCTTCAGTGCTCTCAGAAGTTTTCGACGCCGCTTAATCGCCGTTTTCACTTCCGGGCACCACCACGGTACCGATTTGGAACCAATTCGTCCTGATGTTCGAGGAATGCTAGCGGTTGCTGCTGATAATATCCGATTGACGAACTCATCAACCCCAATCTCGTCATCCGGTTTGATGCTGCTGGAAGTCAGTTGTTCGAACGATGTCCAATCAGCTTGGTCGTAGAGCCATCTTCTCCGCTTCGAAGATACGATGATTGAAAAGTGGTCGCTGCTGTGGGTATCCGGAAGTGTTCGCCAGATAAATCTGGGAGCCAGCACCTCCGAACAGATCGAGAGATCTATGGTAGAAGTTGAACCATTTGCTGGATCCACCCGCGTGTGTGACCCGTCATTCAGGATTATCAGCTGCTCCGTTAGTGTCTTTTCAGCGATATAGTGGCCAAGCGCATTCGATGTCGTAGAACCCCAGGCGGGATGGTGCGCATTGAAGTCGCCAAGTACCAACATTGGCGCAGGCAGACGCTCCAATAAATCATTTAGTTGTGTTTGGAACTGTTGCTGGGAATTCGGAGCGATGTAGATCGACACTACCGTCATTGGCGTCACTCCTTGCTGCCAGTATCGACGACTACCGGTTTGAAGAAGCAGGGCGTAGTTCTTACCGGCAAAGTCTGGCGCGACCTCACGATTATCCACTTTCGTCTCCTGCAGCGCTATAACGGACGGTTCATGCTGGCTGATGAGCAGTTTGAGCTCGCTGATGTTGGCACGTAGACTACGTATGTTCCACTGAAGGGCAACAGATTTCGTAGGATGACTACTGCTGACTGTTGCTGATGACGAAGATGATGCTGACGGTTTGCGCGTTGGACCTGACATATCGGCCGGATTCCAGGAGGAAACAGAGGATGCAAGACACTCGTGACTGGTCCCACTCTCGTCCCCCCGGACATCCACTTCCCTCCTGGGAAGGGGAGGGGAGGTTACTTCACGCTCTCCTTCCACACACCGATTTTGGAATACTGTCTGTTGCACTGTCAACTACGTAGACAGTTGAGGGGGGAGGGGGGGAGGAGTGGTTGACAATTATCCACGGCCCATACAAATTTTATAATTTTTGTATAGACAATTGTCTACGCAGGGGGAGGGGGGCGGGTCAAGAATCCAAAAAAAAAAACTGTCTACGTAGTTTATGAACAGCCCCTAATGATGACGGCGGAGATGCATCTCGACTTTGCTGTTGACGACGAACTTCACCGGTGGGAAAATTCCCGAACCGGTTATTAGGAATGATAGCGCCGGTGGCACTCACAATGTTGTGGTGGCTAGTGTTGGCTAGTGTTGGCTGACGGTGGATTTTCGATTGGCACTACATGCCGACGGTTGATTTCATTGGGTGTATTGGGTGTAAGCGGTCAATATCGAGGTGGTATTATGGTAGGTAGGTAAGTGGTATGTGACTCTAATGTTTCATAATCGACCGCAGAGGGGGATTCTCCATCAACGGGTTGGGGTAAGACGTCCCGGATGGATCCTCCAGCCTGCTGCGCTCTCTTCTGTGAGAGTGAAGGGGGTACTACACTTTCCCTCCCTTCAAGTCGATCGTTGTCGTTGCCCGTTATGTATTGCTGGTCGGTAAACGTTTGGAGGAATGAATCTTATCGAAGATGCTGGCTAGGGAGCGTCTCTTTGATCTCATCCTCGTCGACGCTTATCGTTTCCTGGCCGGATGTCAGTGTTTTTTCAACGGGCTTCTTCAGTGGTGGGCTTTGTCGGCCGGGTGAGGTTAGAGTCGTGCCTTTTCTTCTTCCTGTTGTGCCTAGAATCCGTTGTCGCTGGCGATCTACTTCTGAGATGCATCGACGGTGCGGCTATCTGCGATTCTCCGGATTGGCTCGATTGACTTTCGGAAGGATGGATCGGTTTACTCGGCTGTTGAACTTGCGGTGTTCGAATCAGTTTGATGTGTCCCATTAATTTGTCGATCTTTTCGTCCTTCTTCTTCATCACTTCAAGAAGTTGAGCAATTTGGGCGTCTTTCTCCTCCATTTTCTTCTCCAGTTCCTCCAATTTTTTTTCCGGTTGGCAGTCTGCTGGGCTGCAGCTGCGGCGTAACTTCCTGTCCCTGTTTCGACTCGCTTGTTTGCAATTGATGCAGTGGGCAGCTGCTGTACACTGTTCATCCTCCGCCAGTTCATGATCGGCAGAACAGTTAAGACAGCGTTTCGAACCTGGACATCGGACACGGGAATGACCGTATCGGACACAACCATAGCACAAGAGAGGATTAGGGTAGTACGGACGGGTAGCGGTTGCTCCTGTTAAACGTAAGGATCAGGGCTGACGTGTTGACTGGTTTACCGTGCTCTTTGCGAGTGATTCGCTGAACTCGGATGACCCCCTGGCTAATGAGACCAAGTAGGACGTCCTTCTCCTCCATGCGGATCGCCTCAAAGCACGAAATAACGCAACGGCTCACATTCAAGTTGGGAAGCAGCTGAACGACGACCTCAGTACCATCCAAAAGAGTAAGCAACTTAAGCAGCTTATTGACCTGGACTTGATTCCTACCTCTGAGCGTGTATCGAGTTCCTTGACACTCCTGCAGCATCTTCTACCGACTTTCCAACAATGAAACGATCCGACTTTAATGGGTTTTCTGCATCCTTACTGGTTAATAGAAGGTATGGCAGTGCACCAAATTCACACGTCAAATTTCCTAATCTTAGCCATTTCTCCCTTGACCCTTCAGGTCGCCGCTACTAGCGGCCGTCATTACCGCCTTACCCTACTCTACCACTTTCTCGCGCTTACACACGACGCACGTTGGAAAAAAAGGTAAAAAGTAACAACGGTCACCCGTTGTTTACCCCAGAGACGGTAAAATAAAGAAAAACAAAAGATTTTCCTACCTTACACTCCTTCAATGTCACGCCTACAAAGCGAAATCACCAAAAAAGTGACTCTAGTCACTTCCCTTTTCAGTGAAAATCTTTTCACCAAAAACCGAAAAAATCACACCTCTTGCCACTCGGGTCACACAGCAAAGAAATCTCAAAAGGCCACACTACACAACCGTCGTTTGTTTTTATCACTTATTTCACTCTAATTTTGACCGATAATGATCGGACTTGTATGTTTGTCACTAGTTAACACTAGCCACTAGCTGTGGGTGGCATTTTCGAAACAATCGATCGCGAAATACCACCAAAACACAACAATATTCCGAGCGCGTACGCGGTTGCTATAGACAACAACGATGTCCCGAATTCGAATGATCGAATTAGGTGGTACGGCATATGATTTTCAAAGAATAAAAACTAAGAAAGAGTTGAGGTCTAGGTTGAGGCATTTTAGGAGGTCCAGTCAATTCAATCGCATTCTAAGAAATTTGACTCATCCACAACCGAAACAATTCCTGGAAAAGGAAATTCGTTTTATGGTAACGATTGAGTTTAGCTCTTATCAGTTTATTCAGCGTAGAACATGTGAGAAATGTAACCCATAGTAGAGGACAATCACGCTTTGCATGGCAAAATAAAACTCTCTTCACGTATGTCTGTCTACATCAGTCTTCGTTCGACGGTCGACGGACGAGAAGGGCCTACTGCGTTTCGCTATCAATCGCACATTTATCGTACCCGGTTGCTTAGCTTATTTCGCTTAATCAATTTAATAAAACAGTTGGCGGCGACATCCAATTAGTGTGAACAATGTCATCCAGGAAAGTAACCTACATCCAGCACTCGGGATGTTCTGGTGGCGGGTAGGTCGTAAAAGTGGTTCAAAATTATATCACATATGATCATTGAAGGCTCTTTCAGCAATCGCATCGTAACTGTCACGAAACATTTTTCTGGATCCGGATCGGTACAACAAATGATGGCCATACCTTCGTTGACACCGGTAGTGACCTATCCAAGCAGTGGTAGTGGCGGTGGAGCCAGTTCGTCGTCCTTCGATGCTGCCGTTTTGGCCGAACATAATCAACTACGTGCCAAGCACTCGGCCGCCCCGTTAACGCTCGATTCAACCCTCAGCAGCTGCGCACAGGAATGGGCCAATGTAAGTGACCAATCACACACGATTCTCCGTTGTGATGTATTACTTTGGCGTCTGCTAGATGTTGATGAATAGATCGTTCATACCTAATTTACAGTATTATCAACAGACAAACAGACGTAACTTTTTAAATAAATTCTCCTTAAATATATCGTCGGGGCCTACCTTAGCTCAGTTGGCAATGGCGCAGCTACAAAGCAAAACCATGCTGGAGATGGCTGGGTTCAATTCCCGGTCCAGTCTAGGAATTTTTCGGGTTGAAAATTTCCTCGGCTTCCCTGGACATAGAGTATGATTGTACTTGCCACACAATTATACTAATGCGAGAATGGTACAGGTACCGAAAACTCTCAACTAATAACTATGGAAGTGCATATATTATAACACTAAGTTGAGAGCACGCAATAAGCTAAGAAGTGAAGAAGAAATCATATCGTCATGGAACTCGATGAAAAAAGCTTCCTTCTTTCCGGTTCTAGAATGTATAGAAGCGTCAAAGTGATCCGATGCCAGCGATGTGGTGGTGATTTCGTGCAACTAATAATATTCCACTTGCACGTTAAATGCGTGTACGACGATTGAGGAGAAAGTGTTACGTCTGTTTGTCTGTGGTATTACTCATCACATTGGCGGTAAAGGGAAAACAGGGAAGGCACATACCAAATATTTTGCACAGATGTCTCCGCTGAGTATTTTTATCTCGTGATTTTTATCTATTAGAACATAGCCAGCCGGAATTGCATGCAACATCGGCCAAACAATCGTTACGGTGAGAATATTTACGCTTCCTTCGGCAGAACGAATGTTTCAGGAGAAGAGGTGGTCCGATCATGGTACAATGAAATCAAGGACTACCGTTTTGGACAGGCCAATCCCAGCAACTTCAGTCAGGTGGGCCATTTCACTCAGGTGGTTTGGAAGAGTTCAACAAAGCTGGGAGTGGGAATCGCTAAGAATGGGTGAGTTGCGGAAATTTTGACCCATACGTTGAAGTTCATTGGTTTATGTGTTCAATTTTCAGGACTAATGTGTACGTCGTGTGCAACTACGGTCCCCCAGGAAACTTCAGTGGACAATACCCGGCTAATGTTACTCGCAGCTAATTGTTCACTTGACAGTTTGTGAAATGGTTAGTTTTAAACTGTAGATTTTCAATATAGTAAACGAAACAAAATTATATGTTTTAAAAATCTTCCAAAACACCGACATACCTATACCTGCATAATAAAACAAGAACTCACCCTCTGTAACAAGCGATTAAAGTCGTTGCCTCCCCAGTCCGCATCGTGGTCTCTGCGTGCACGGCGTGCGGATCTATTTGCTTGTTGCTGAAGGAAGTGTTACTGCTACCTAAGGCTACAACAAATTTAAACAACACTTCTCAGTGCTTACTTAGAAGTTTTCCACTTTGTTTGACTCTTATTCCTCATCGGTCATGGATACAAAATGCTAAGTGGAATTAAATGGACAATCAAAAACCTTTTTTGCTCTAACAACCCAATTGAATAACTTTCATGTTTTGAGCATTTTGACTATCGTCACATAGAAACGCAAAACTACTCAAATATGAATTAACCACTTCATTCGAGCAGCTAAAATGACGTTTAGTACCACTCGAACTTTGAAATAAAACATTATGTTGAGATTTTTTCTTGTAGAACCTCGAGAAAAGTAGCCAACATTTGTGCGTTTCATAAAAAAATAGAAATAAGTTGGTCCAGTTTTGTGAAATAGCTGGTAGAAAGTCACGCCAAAACTGCTTGACAAAGTGGTCAATTATTGTAGAAACTAAATTCCATGTTAGATTAACATGCAAGGATAGTTGAATACCGTGTTAAAACTTCTGCACATTAATTTCATTTTAAATAATTATTCAACAAAACTGCTTGAATCTGATACATTTCGGCGAAATGTTCAGAACTATTCTTTGTATTTAACATTTTCTTACCACTACGTCAACATTGTAGTGAATATTATATCTGTGCTTTAAAATACTTTCAAGGGAGCCAATGTAGCACACTGGAGACACATACACATATCTTGAGTTACATGTCCGAAGGGCCTAACTTAAATTTGACCGTTTCGAAAAGATTGAATTTCAAATTTTGATGATAACCGATGAAACCTAAGCACAGGCTTGCCTAAACTTCTCAAACTCAGATTATGCCGTATAGATGCTCATTTATCGTGAGCTATTTCATCCCTCACATATAAAGAGCAATGATGTCAAATCCAAAGAGCGCAAAAGAGCTCGAGCTCAGATTGATGCTCAAGCTGGACTTCCACAAACACGCATCACTATGAGTGATGCGGGGTCGTTCTTGGGTGAGGAATGATTTACATCGGCTCTGCTCACCAAACAACATTTTGAACTTCGGGATGGACTCGGTGAAACGGTGAGCTTCGTTATGCTTTCGGAGAGAGCACGCACGGCCTTTGATTGATGCACGGTTCTTCCATTCAATATTATGATACACAACAACACAACAATACATTCAATGGACTACAGGACCATTCCCAGAGAACGTAACATTTTAAGAGATTGATGTTTTTTTTAAACTTGGGGACCACTTTTTGTGTTACTCAAACTCAGTCACAAAAATCTTTGATCGTTTTTTTTCCGCTAAGTGCTTTATGAGTGGATATACGAAATTATATTTCTGACTTAGAATGTACGAGGGAAAAACGAGTAAAAGTACTAATTACTACGTTTATGGATTATCCCTTGGTGGTGTTTTCGTTCAGAGATGCCAGATTTGTTTCTTTGCAATTCCGTAGACTTATTCAAATCTACGGATTTCTACGGATTTTTTTAGCCGAAGGCCCCATTTTTTTTTAGTTCTTAAGTGAAATTTTACGTTAAATGATAAATTGAAAGAACTTTTGAAAAAAAAACTACTAGGGACAGCCCTTTGGGGTTGTACGCAATGGTGACGTTGGATTACGTGGTCGTACATAATAAATATTATTTTTTATTTATTTATTTATTTCGTCAAGCAAAGTAGACTACATACAATCGTTACAATGTTTTACTTACATAGGGGAATTTACGTATTCTCGTCAATCTAAGCAGCGTCCGCACTTCTATTAGCATTTTGTCAGCGTTACGCACATATATCACGTGTCTGTTTGTTAACATTCATCTGCTGCTTGCTTCTCTATCCATTCCAATCGACAGAAATTTTTCTCAGGTGAGTGTGACTATTGTCGGCAGCCTCTTTTTCTTCGGCAACCTTCCCATTAGAACTGCGTGTTAACCAGCTGTTCTATTATCGGCAACTCGAAATCAGCCCCATTTTGTAGTGCGTATACTTCATTTGAAGAAAAATCTGGCATAATAAATTGCTCGGTCGTACAAATATAATCAGATTGAAGCTGAAAGACTAAAGAATCGTTTGAATACATTCAGAGAAGTGTGTTGATGGGAAAACATAGTGGAATTATCGTTTAAATTTTGGTTGCCGAAAACAGTCAATGGGTGCCGAAGCCAACATTTACCCTACTATGCATTATTTCTATAATGTTTTAGTTGGGCTTTAATTTCTTCTTTTGACATAGTGATGCTAATGACTTCACAGTGTAGATTATACTGTCGCATCATTCGATTGAAGGGGCCATTTTTTTGCGTAAATTGTTCTGTGTGATTTTTCTGAGAATAATTTTCGTGTTCTTAGATGCCGACAGGGTGTGTAGAAGTTTAATTGTGAAAGTATTTCTGATGATTCTATGCGATGTGAAATAATGTCATTGATGAAGAAAAGCATTGCAAATTCGCGGCGTTCTTTGAGTGTTTGTAAGTTGATGAGCATACAGCGTGCTTCATATGATGGAAGAGGAAATGCGGTCCAATTCAATTTCCGAAGGGCATATAAAAGGAATTGTTTTTACGGATTCCATACCAGGTTACAGTATTCCAGAATAGGTCTTACGTATGTAATATATAATAATTTGATAGTGTATGGGTTTTGAAAATTATAGCTGAACCTCTTAATGAAGCCCAACATACTATAAGCTTTCATTATAATTGTATTATAATGTTCTACAAAAGTGAGTTTGGAGTCTAGGATCACACCTAGGTCCCTTACAAATTTACATTTTTCTACTTTTTGGTTGCCTAAAAATATTTCAAAAAGAGGTGTTTCTACTTTTCTGCTAAATACAATTGCGTTGCATTTTTTTACATTGAGTTGGAGTAGACTTTCACAACACCAAGTGTTGAATAAGTTGATTTCATTCTGGAATTCTTCTGTGTCGCTAGAATTACTTATTTCCATGAAGAGCTTCATTTTGTCTGCATATATAAGAATTTTTATTTTTTTAAGTATGTAGGAAATGTCGTTTACGCACAAAATAAAAAGAATTGAGCCTAAATGAGAGCCCTGGGGCACCCCAGAGGTGACCGAAATAGGTTCTGAAAGTTTATTCTGAAAACGAACTATTTGTTTGCGTTGCGTTAAGTATGATTGGAGCCAATTCAGAAGCCTAGATTCCATTCCTATTTTTTGCAGTTTAAAGAGTAATAATGGTATGTCGATTCGGTCAAATGCTTTACTGAAGTCAGTATAAAGAGCTTCCACGTGCTTGTGATTGTCAATTGCGTTAAGAATGAAGGTTACAAATTCAAGAAGATTAGAGGTAGCTGAACGACCTTTAAAAAAGCCGTGCTGTTTTTTTGTAATTTGATTTTTTACTTGCTCTAAAATTTTGTCGTTTACGATTGATTCAAAAAGTCTTGGGATGCAAGAGATAATGGCAATTCCACGATAATTACGGATGTCAGATTTCTTGCCTGATTTGAAAATAGGCACCAAATGAGACGGTTTCCAAATTTCAGGGAATTACCCATTTTTCAGAGACATATTGAAAAGGCGTTCTAAAGGAAGGGTAAGTTGTTCTGAAAGATTCTTCAAGAATACGGGAATGAATGCAAAGAAGTCGCGGTCGCGGTCTTTTTCAGAAAATGTGGTGTATACTTCCTGTAACTGCAGCAGGACTTGTGTTTTGTGTCGAAATGGGAATTTGATCGGGGTTCTCTCTGTTTATACTCTTTAGTATGACCATGATTTCCCTGAAAAGAAGCTTTTGATATGAATTTTAGTTGGGACATGATCAGAAATTTATCACTTTTGGAAAATCTTGGTGGCCCTGAAAAGGGCCGATGGTAGTACAGACATGAATACCATGATACTGTTGCACCTGACGTTTTTGACGTACTTTCACTGATTGCTTCCCGGGGATCCTTGTTCAGCCATAGCAAGATGTGCGCGTGAGGACTTCCACGGTGCTGAAATGCAATCGTGTCAACCAGCTTGTTGAAGTACACACAGCCCGTGACTGGATTATCACTGGACTGGTGCAGTCAATTCCTGGATAGGATTTGTTAAGTCATTGCCATTGTGTCCTTCTGACAATCGATGTAGGAGATTCAACAAATGGGGCTACTTCATCTCATTTGCACTGAGTGTGAGGAACATTGTAGGCTTTCCCAATTGTCACATCATGGTGAACAGATTTCTCTTCCTTTGTTGACAATACTGTATTGAATTCGGCATTGAGGAAGGATAGCTTTCGCTCAATGCACTGCTCCATGAATAAGGCGGTCCTTAAGGTTGATGCCTGTATTGTTTGCAGTCCCCGTGCACTTAAAAGTGCATTGCAAGCCTTCGGAAACTCTAAGGCGAAGAACTTTCATTGTCATATACAACAAATGTTGTGGTTTGGCCAAACGGCTGTCTTGACGACGAGTTTCACTGGATGCCATCATGAAATATGTCACCTGAACCCCTGGCTTGAACTTCCGTAGATGTCCGAAACATATGGCAGGAAAAGCTATCTCTTTGCCGTGCTCATCATATATTAATGACAGAGGAACCCTGTTTTACGCGGGAGCGATCTCCAGGCATCTCATTCCATAGGAGCGTTTCCTGTTGCCCAAGCAGCCATTCTGTCTCATTATCCACGGCAAAGGTTTCCAGCTCAATTTGAGGAGCCACTGCAGGGGTTTCAAGACCATCTGTGGCGATCTGATCAATTATGATCCCGTAGCGGCGGTACAGTGGTGTCGTAATCTAATAAGAAAGCCACGCTTTAACCGTAGTTTTCTTTATAAAGTCAGACAAGTACGACGACTTATGGATTGCGTGCTTTTTGAT